CATGTGCTGATGCCTAATCCAAGCTTCAGTCTTCCCTAGAAACTTGGATCGTAAGAACTCCTTATGTATCTCGATGTACGGATGCACCAATGACGAGTTCTGAAGAACTATGTAGTGTGCTTTATTGAAATAATCATCTTCCATGCCGATATATGTTTTCTTCCCTAAAGTTCCTTTACCACTTAGTCTCCCCTCGTGTCGCGATTCGGGAACGCCAATCGGGGCAAGGTAAGGAATAAAGTCAACACAGAACTCAATGACCTCCTCTGTTCCATAACCCTGGGCGATGCTTCCTTCAGACTTAGAACGGACTTTCACATATTTCTTTAAGACTTCCATAAACCTCTCAAAGGAGAACATGTTATGTAAGAACACAGGTCCAAAAATACTAATCTCCTTCACCAAATGAACTAGGAAGTGTGTCATGATATTAAAGAAGGATGGAGGGAACACTAACTCAAAGCTGACAAGACATTGAACCACATCATTCTATAGAGTAGCTAGTTCTACTAGATTGATTGCCTTCTGAGAAATTGCATTGAGGAATGCACATAGCTTCACGGTGGCTAGACGTACATGTGGAGGTAGAATTCCTCTTAAAGCAACTGGAAGCAATTGCGTCATAAGCACGTGGTAGTCGTGGGACTTTAAGTTTAGGAATTTCTTCTCTGGCACATTTATTATACCCTTTATATTGGAGGAGAATCTCGATGGGACCTTGATGCTGCTTAGACATTCGAACATGCTATCCCTCTCTTCTTTGCTAAGCGTGTAGCTAGAAGGACTTAAGTAATGACGCCCATCATCTGTCTTCTCTGGATGAAGGTTGTCTCGTTCTTTTATGCCCTGCAAGTCCTGGCGTGCTTCAAGTGAATCCTTTGGCTTCCTGTACACACCCATGAATCCTAACAGGTTCACACAAAGATTCTTTGTCAGGTGCATCACGTCGATTGCGTTGCTGACCTCTAGGACTTGCCAATAGGGTAGCTCCCAAAAGATGGACTTCTTCTTCCACATGGGTGCATGTCTCTTAGCATCTTTGGGAACAGATTCTCTACCTTGTCCCTTTCCAAATACTACTTTCACATCCTTGACCATTGCGAGTACATCTTCCCCGGTTCGGTTATGAGGCTTCTTCTAGTGGTCTAGCTTACCTTTAAAATGCTTCCCTTTCTTTCTTACTTGGTGATTCAAATGAAGGAATCGACGATGGCCAAGGTACATGACCTTTCAACATCTTTTCAAATATATACTGTCAAGGTCATCAAAACAATGTGTGCATGCATTATATCCTTTGTTTGTCTGACCTGAAAGATTACTTAAAGCAGGCCAATCATTGATTGTTACGAACAACATTGCTCGTAGGTCAAAGTGTTCTTGTTTATACTCATCCCACACACGTACACCTGGTTTGTTCTAGAAAACTAGAAGTTCTTCAACTAATGGCTTCAGATAGACATCAATGTCGTTGCCAGGTTGCCTCGGACCTTGGATGAGGATCGGCATCATAATGAACTTCAGCTTCATGCATAACCATGGAGGAAGGTTGTAGATACATAGAGTAACTGACCAAGTGCTATGACTAGTGCTCTGCTCTCCAAAAGGATTCATACCATCTGTACTTAAGGCGAATCTTAAGTTTCTAGCCTCATTTGCAAACTCTGGAAATTCCCTGTCATCGCTCTCCACTGGGACCCATCAGCTGGGTGTCTCAGCATATTGTCTACCTTACGGTCTTCTTTATGCCACCGCAAAAACTTTGCATGGTCTTTATTTCTGAATAAACATTTTAAGCGTGGTATTATAGGAGCATACCTCATAACCTTGGCAGGGATTTTCTTTCTAGGACGTTGTACACCCTCGACGTCACCAGGATCATCGCGCCTGATCTTATACTGCGATGCTTTACATACCGGGCATTCATCCAAATTCTCGTATTCATTGCCATGGTAGAGGATGCAGTCATTAGGACATGCATGTATCTTCTGGATTTTTAATCCCAAAGGGCAGACAACCTTTTTTGCTTCGTACGTAGTGGTGGGCAATTCATTTGGCTTCGGAAGCATCTTCTTTATGAGGTTCAATAAATTCCCAAATGCTTTGTTAGATACACCATTCTTTGCCTTCCACTGTAGCAATTCCAGTGTTGTACCCAGCTTTTTTTCCCCTCTTCGGCCGTCGGGTATAGCAACTTCCTATGATCCTCAAGCATGCGCTCGAACTTAACTTTCTCTTTTTCACTTTTGCATTATTGTTGTGCATCACGAATGGCATCGCCAAGAGCATCACCGAGATCATCTTCTACCACTACCTCTTCTTCATCTCCCCCCATTGTAGTATCATCAAAGGCACCATACTGAGCAATAATGTCATCAATGTCTAAATCTTCTCCTTCACCTTCTTCCATCATGACCCCATTTTCTTCATGCTTCGTCCAACATATCGTCCAACATATATAGTTTGACATGAAACCTGACTTCAGCAAATGTGAATGAAGACTCATTGAGCTTGAATATTCCTTTAAATTCTTACATAGGGCACATGGACAGCACATGAAATCATCCCACTTATTTGCCTCGACCACACCTAAGAAATAGTGCACGCCCTCAATAAAGTCTTGGGAGCAGCGATCGGCATTGTACATCCAATGGCGTGACATAATCTGCATTACACGACAAATTATGAAAACCTTGAACATAATTAAGTATTTTATTACACAACATAGATGACACACACACGATTGATTAATTAACTAAGCCTGGCTACAACATAAGCAATCCTAACTATCACTAAACAAACTAAAACTACAATGCACTTCAGTAACATAATTATTTCGTGACCGTACGCAACTAAAACAGATAAATCATTTGTCTGTTGAATATCAATAAGCTTCTCCTGCTGGCTCACTGCCTCATCATCAGCAGCCGCTACCTCAAGCGCACCTGAATTCTGCACGTATGTAGCATAATCTTCCTCCCAGTACCAACCATCGCATCCATTGCCCTCCCACTGAAATTAAAGCCAAAAAATATTTAGTCAAAAATATTCAAGAAAAGCAGGTCAATTAGCCATAATAATCAAATGTGTAAGAAATTCACATCATGATCCGGGCACTTGTAGAAAACACGACCCTTGTTGGGTCCCTGTCTCTTGACTCGGTACTCCATCACAATCTTCTGCTTACACTTGCCGCAGATAATGAGAGGGAGTTCTGGCCTCAGTCGTTTCGCAACCGAACGAGAGGCCGAGGATCAGGTACCAGTTGTCATCTACTTTCTATACTTATTTTTGCAAACTAGTGTAAATTTCACATTTTCTAAAATAATATATTTAAACAAAACTAAAATTATTTATTTATCTAACTAAACCATAAAATATGTACTATGTATAATAGTAAAATACCAAACTAACAAGTGATTTTACTATTGTAAATCATCATGTGATTTTGAGCTAAAAATGACATAGAAATCATAATCAAATCCACCATATCAAATTACTTTCTATAATTATTTTTGCAAACTATCGTAAATTTCTCATTTCTAAAGTAATATATTAAAAAAATAAAAATATTTATTTATCTAACTAAACCATGAAATGTACTACATATACTAGCAATACTAAACTATCAAGTGATTTTGATGAACTAATTTAACTTTTGTTTATCCAAACATATATGCAAATCATCATGTGATTTTGAGCTAAAAATGACATAAAATCATAATAAAGTCCAACATATAAAGTTACACATGCATCTACATCGCAAAATGAGATAAGCTACTGATAAAACATAAGAGAATTAAGTTTGTTACCTCCAAAATCGAAGAGCAACACCAATAGAGGGGGAGAGAGCAAGAACAACAGCAAGCTGAAGAACAGAGGCAGTGAGTTTGAATGGAATGGCTCGGGCACGGGGAGAAAGAAATGAGCTGGTCTATAGGCCGGGATAATTAGTCCCGGTTAGGGGGCCAAACCGGGACTAAAGATTAATCTTTATTCTCGGAGCATCACCCAAACCGAGACTAAAAGCTTTAGTCCCGGCTGGTATTACCAACCGGGACTAAAACCTTTAGTCCCGGTTGGTAATACCGGCCAGGACTAAAGATCCCTGCCCCGCGGACGACCGTTGGACAGAAACCTTTAGTCCCGGTTGGTTTAGTCCCGGGGGCAAAAAATGCCGAGGCTAATGCTAAATTAAGACATTGTTCTAAAGTCTGTTGTCTAGTAGCGTGAATATGGTGAAAAAAGTTAGAATTTGGTCGCAACTGTCCGTGACGTTATAGTTGTTACCAAAAAAAATGATGTCTCCAGACTGACAAAAAATATAAAATAAAAATTCTCTTAAAATGACGAGGGAAAGAAGACAACATATGTATCGGAAAGGGAGAGCTTCAGTAATCCTTTTTGTTTTGAAAAGACCGTGGAGCAGAGCTCTCCATTGTATTCAACTTTGGCCCTATTTGGCTGGTTGGAAAAATGTCTGATGCTGATGCTGATTTGTTGTAAGATAAAAATATTATTATTTCGCTGAAACGGTACGACTGATAAGTCAAGCGAACATGGCCTTTATTTTTTTAGATTCGCTTCCACCAGGAGTTGGACATAGGACCCGATGACTGCAACTCAGCTAGAGGCCCATTCGCGAGAGCTTCAATCCTTGTGTTGCTCGGTGGCGAAATTGTTGGAAACCAGATTAGTCTCGACCCTTTATGGTTCTTTATTTGCAAATCACTTGCCTTATACGTAACAACATAGTAGTAATATGTAATCACATAACTCGGTGCAGATTTGACAACTTACATCCGACGTCACAAAACAATTATACACACGTACTTCTAATAATAATTATAAGTATGACCATCATGATCATTTGCATGATATTACAATATATATACTGGTATATTACTATATGATGACTGTTTTTTCTTTTAGGGAAACTATAATATGACTGTTGAACTGACAGCTGCAGAGAGCATGCATGCAGATAGGGCTGGCCCAGCTAGCTAGCCACTGATGTTTTGCCCAACTGCAACTGATGCATTGGCGTTGGGTGGTGTTCCGGCCTGCTCGCCGCGTGGATGGGCGTTGTTGGCGATCACGGCTCGACGACCGCCGCCGCGGAGGACGGCCCTGTGCTGCAGGTGCAGGCGAATCCGGTACCAGTCGTGGACCCAGTCCGGCACGAAGCCGGTGAGGCACCACTGGAGCTTCTGGGCGGCGCCCGGAACACACAGCGGGCCGTTCCCGATCCACCGCGCCGCCGTGCTGGTGTACTCGTCCGCCGTCGCCACGAACCACGGCCGGAGCTTGGCCTTCACGGCGCTCGACAGCATGCGCGTGTGCACGTAGAACGGCACCTGCAACAAATACAGCCATATACATGCATGAATTAGCCAACTACTTTAGCATCAGAGGTCGATAGTGTGACTGTGCTAGTGGGTGGCTCGTGTGACTGTGTGCTAGTGTGTAGTCACCGGTCTCGCAAGCTCATGCTAGCTAGGTCAGCTTGGAGGTTGAAACCGGCCAGGGCCAGTAGTGTGGATCATTACGGACCTGGTATTGGATGTCGATTCCTTTGCTCTTGTACTCGACGTAAAGGCTTCTGGAGAGCTGAGCGACGTACCTGGATAGGATGAACGTACACCACACATTAAATAAATATTTTAAATATATAAACTTTTACTAGTATCATTTATAATTATTAGTAGTTGTTGTACCATGATCATCAGCATCGCGCTATCAAGAAGTTATTTTTAAGCACTACTACAGTAAGGTTCCCATTCCAACTAGCCATTAATGGATATGTTTATTTAACGTTGACGTGCAAGCGCACGCATTGAAGGCACGAAAGATACACACAAAAAATATATTATTTTATTTTGTTCTGCTTTATATTATGTATACGTACGTCTTCAATTTCGCAATGTTTGATTGGTTTATTTACATGCATGCCTAGACAGCATAATATTATTTTATTTACAGAACTGGCTCAAATTTGTACGCATTTATTGGATATAGATAGATCAGGAGCAGAACTCGGGCGGGGGTGCTCATCGGCGGTGTTCAAATTTCGGCAAAATTTCGCTGAAATTTCATGAATTTTAGTACTGGCTGAAAAAAATCCAAAATTTTGTAATATACTAATACACGTGCTAGGTAACTCTGGACTTATATTTTATATTATTTATGTTACATATTCTTCTACTCAATAGATGTGTAGTCATAAATTATGCTAATATTTGTTTAGATCTAATTTTTTTAGAAAAAAACATAATTCATGCATAAGTCTCTAAAACGTTTAGCAAAAATTTCAGCCGAATTTCACGAATTTTGGGTGTGGCCAAGTTTTTTATAGCAAAATTGAAAACTCTGCTCATCGGGTCATCTGACCCAATAAAGTTGTTATATTAGAATCAGTGAACACTCTTCCTATAGTTTTGACCTAAAACAGAATATATCCGTCTAATAAGGTCATCTGATGTCAAAAAATTCTTCACTTATATGTCGTTTTCTAGGTTTCGGAACAAACAAATATTATAAAAACCAATTAATGTCACATCACGTACTTTTTGGTGGAGCTGTAGACGGTGTACAGAGGGAAGGACGGGACGGCCACCGTGGAGCCCGAGCCAACGTTAACGATGGCACCCCTCCGGCGCGCCAGCATCCTCGGCAGTACCGCGGCCGTGACCTCGGTGAGCCCCCACAGGTTCACCCGTATCATCCGCACAAACCGCTCGATGTCCGCCTCGTGCAGGTACACCGCGCCAGCGCGTGTTCACCGCCGCGTTGTTCACCAGCATCCCCACGTCCAGCCCCTCGATCGCCTCCCGCAGCCGCCGGATCGCCGCGTCGCCTGCCAGGCATGCAATTCAGACGCCGACGGTGTTGTGTGGATCTCATGCATGCATCGTCTCACCTTCAGGGGTGGCGATGAGGGAGAGGTCTAGAACCACCGTCTTTATCTTCACGGGGTGGAGGGACTTGATGGCGTCGGAGGTCTCCCTGAGGTTGTCGGAGTTGAGGTCGAGGAGGACGAGGTTGAGGCCCTGTCGCGCGAGCTCCATGGCCATGGACCGGCCGAGCCCGGAAGTCGGGCCAGTGACGATGGCCCATGAGCCGTAGCGGTGGAGGTCCTTCGGACGGCGCAGGCACAACACCAGGTAGGCGAGGGGGCGGCCGCAGATGGCGGCGATGTACAGCGCGCCAAGGCACGCTAGTGAGACGAACCAGACAGGCACGTCCTCCATTATCTCTGTTTCTGCTTGTGCTTCTGCTTCTTGCTAGCTCCTGCACTGCAGGGGTACCCAGCAGATGCCACTATATATGACTGTGTAGTGGTGCACTGGCGGCAAGAGGAAGCCATCCATATATATATAGACCATGCATTATGTGGGTGGCATTTGCACTGTCCGTTTATGTGCCCATATGGTCGACTGTAGCTCGTAGCTACCAGCTCTCCAACTAACTGATAGGGCTAAGCTATTAATTAATTCCTCATTCATACGGGCGGAGAGTACTCTGTTTAACTTTAGAGTAAAATGCATGGTTAGCCCATCAACTTGTCTACTTATATCAATTAGGTCCTCTAACTTTGAATTTTCATTTCTGAGTCCAAAACATTTTTAAGTGGTGCAGAAATAGTCTATACTGGTTCATTTTTGTGTTTATAACAGTCGACTGTACAACCTGGCCGATAACTCGGAGAAGAGGTCACGTGTAGCAAAGTGCGTGTGAGCAGTGGACTGGTCGGTCTTTTTAGCAAAAAAAAAACGACTTGTTTCTTCTTTCGTATTCCCTATAGGGGAGGCCCTCCCTCTCTCCGTCCCCCATGTTCTTCTCTCCCGTGGTGGTGGTGGAGGCAGATCCTTGGCAAGCGACTTCATGTCGTCTGCAGCCAGTGGCGGAGCTCGTCAATTTTCACACCTAGGGCCGCTATGCAAGGACTTATGTATACATGTGAACATTTTGCAAGCCATTTGCATTACTATCTAATTCTTCTACTAGTTTTGATTGTGCCTGTACAGAATGTTAGTTTCATGACAGTGGTTGTATAACTGGCCGGTTAAGCATATAAGAAAAAAATATTCCATGTCTTAGTCCTCTTTATTGTGTAATTCTACAACTCTCCAAAAATCCAGAAACACACAATCATTAATTCATTCATGGAATTGGCAAATGACAAGTGTCTTGAGGATCCCTGGATCCGGAAATCCAAGTTCCAACTTAAAATGGAGCATGGATTTGGGGTTTGGGATGAGGAATTTACTTGCTACTGTTGGAGTGCTGCTTGCCTGCCTCTTTAGTCTATGGTCTCTATTGCTGTGTGCTGACGTGCTAATCGCACCCTTCTCCAACCAGGAGCGTGATGGCCGTCCGCCAGCCCTACTTTGATATGGCGCACAGCTGGCTGCCGAGACCCAACTCCGAAGAGTCCTGCTCGTTATCAGCCCGCGCCTTGCTCCGATTTGATGCGCCCCTTGCTGTTCTAGCCATATGATGGCCTAGGGTTCAAAGCAGGAAATAAACGAAAAGAAAGGCGGCGTCTACTGCATGAGAGTCGACGACTCACGCACATGTGATGGCGTGAGCCAGGTGAATAGGCGCTACTACCTTGGGCCTTTTGCCTTGCTGGACTGGTCGGCTAGGAGTCATACTATATAAAAGCAACATTGGGCCACCTCAGGGGAGTAAAGGGATCTCCTGGGCCATGCCTAGGGCCACGGCCCTAGTTGCCCCAGGCCCATATCCATCCCCATCTGCAGCAGATTCGGGCAGATCATGTTCCCTTCCCTTGATCATGTGCACTAAGTGCCACCACCGGTTTAAACTGGTGAGAGGTGGAATTTCGAAGAAACCCTGGAGCACACGGCAAGTTTTCTACTGTTACCTGACGCACATGGTTAATTTGATTTTAGATTCGTCTTGTGGTTTCTGAATTGCTCAGCTTTGAATTTGGCTTTGATGTGTTCAAACCTAAATTTGGCTGAGCAATGGTGAAGGTTGCCCGTTCTTCTATTAGGAGGAGGCATACATGAAGCACTTAAAAAAGAAAAACATCATACATTTTGAAGGGAGTGGGTAGCTTTCATAGGGTGGGGTTTCGTTTTAGCTGTAACAAGAGATCCATACGCTCTTACAATGATAACGAGGAGTATTGGTTGCCTTGTGTCTAATAACCCGCACATCAGAAATATTAAAATCACCCACTGAAGCATTCAAAGGTACTATGAGCAGGAGATGAATTGGGTATCTAATTCAAACTTAAATCCTAAGCCTCAAATAAAATTACCACTAGGAAAAGCATAAACTAGCTAGTCTATGATGTGCACTTTAGTTTTTTCTAGTGTGCTCTAACTTACCTTCATCCCAAAGTACTTTTACAACCAAGAGTCAATCCTATCGACTAGCCTATAGCTAATCTAAGAAAATAAAGGTCATAGAATCAAAGTATAAGCGGATGCAACGAATGCGGTAAGTAAAAAGCTAAGGATAGAAAGGTCAAACTCCTCGAGATGTGACGATATATCATGTTGCATTGGTTGCTAGCCCCAAGTGCATCTTGGAGCTCCATCGAGGTACACCCCAAGTCAGCATGTCTCTCCTAGTCACGTTGTTCAACCATCCTAAAGGCTGTGCATAAGTCATGAATTCTCACCACCGACACCTAGCTCTTCCAGTCACCTTGACACCATATACACTATGGAGCTTCTACACAAGAGGGAAGGGTCTCCTCGTCCCTTATACACTGATAGGACAATGCTCCACATGAAGAATAGAGGGGTCTCTACCTAGGTCACCACGCCTTCAACGTAAGGTCATGGAGACCCCACTCTAGTTGTCCAAGTTACAAGGGCACAATAGCTCATTCTCTAATAAACAAGGCCTAAACAAAGCACTAATTGTTCTTACTATTCCTTTGATTTGATGACTAATCTCACATACGAGGTTCTAGTGTATCTTCTAGTGTGGGAAATTCCTCTAGCTTCTATGGTCTCCAACAACCTTGGAACACACAGGTTGGAGGGGAATTCATAGCCCAAGCATGCCTAGTAGTCATTGCTCCAACAACCATATTTTTTGTGTGCACTAGATGATCCGCTAGAGTATGAAAAATAACACAGGTTCATTGGGTGGTAGTTTGTGAGCTCTGTAACCAAGTTACTAGATATCACCGGATGGTATGTTGACCCATGAATTCTATGACCATGTTGCTAGACATCACTTGATGATCCTCCAGGTCACATATCTCATAGTCATAGCTTCGAAGTCCGTTTTCGATGATCTAGCAGTTCTTGAAAATCTTGAGAAGTGATCTACAAGATTATCAAAAAATCCCTTCAAAATACTGCATCATATGATCACAAAACATGCCAGATCATATGCTTGATCATCCACCAGTTCATCCTATGATAATGGATTATCCTATGAACATTAGTAAGGTGGCAGCTTGGTATTTTGGTCGTATCTTTGACTTGTTGGAAAGCTTGTGAAAATATCTACAACTTCAACCTAATATTGTTCTAGTTTGACCAATTATCACTACAAGAAAAAAGGGGTATTAACGATAGGATATGTGGTTGTTAAAAGTCTAAAATGTGGCCATTAATAAGTATTAACGACCACTAAAGTGTGGTCATCCTTGTTCGTTAAAAGCTCTATTGTTAATATAATCGATGACCCCATAATATTTCTCGTCGTTAACTTTTCAATGACTACATAATATGTCCACTTTGTCATTGTTGATTGGGAATTAGATACAAGAGTGATTGTTCTTTGGCTAATTGAGGTTTCTCATTCTGGTGTTAATATTGTTGAATGTATTGTTGTTGTAGTTGAAGAGCATGGTCTAGTTAACAAGATTTTCTTTATCACTCTAGAATGCTTCTTCAAATACATCTACCATGAGCATTTTGACACCTATTTTTGCTGGTTACTTGGGTCCTGATCCTGATCACGATCCTTTTGATCCTCAGACTCATAAATATAGTCTTGCGCATCAATGTTGTACTTGCCATATCATTAATCTAATTGTGAAATATGGCTTGAAGAGGTTGAAACATTTCATAGATGATTTTAGAACTACAATTAACTTCTTAAATTCCTCTAATCAATGCACTGCTTTGTTCAAGAACTATAGCATTGCTAAGGGTGTGCGCCCTCGTAAATTTTGTTTGGATATAGATGTTAGATGGAATGCAACATACCTTATGCTAAAGCACCTAATTCCATATAGGGGCATTTTCTCTATGTTCATTAATTCTCATTATGGCTCAAAACTGTTGTCAGAAAATCATTGATATGTTGTTCAAAAGGTATTGTAGTCCCTAGAACTCTTTTATGACTCCACTGTTGTTCCATCTGGTGTTCATTATCCCACAAGTCCACTAATTCTGCACCACATTCTAGAGATTTCTTTCCATTTGCATGTTTGTGGAAATGATAAAAATCTAAGAAATGTTGTTGTTTCTAAGAAAATTAGAGATTGTTTTCCATTTGCATGTTTGTTACTAGCAGGATATACCTTTGTTATATTCATATGCATTCATTCTTGAACCTAGGGCTAAGATGAGAGGTTTTCTAATGTTCTGCAATTGCTTGGTGACCGTACTGGTACTGATTACAAATGATACTTTGCTCTGGTGAAAACTGAATTGTATAAGTTGTTTAACAAATATGAAAAGAAGTTTGGTGCAGCTAGGTCTTAGAGGACTTCACAACCATCAAGTCTCACGGGTAAGAAAAAACCAGCATGGGGGGATTTTCGAAGGTCGTGGAACAGGTGTTGTTGTCCCTTCCCCTGTCTCTACCACTTCATCGTCTACATCTTTTGTTTCTGAGCTCTCGGTTTATCTAGACAGTGACAATATCACTTCTTATGAGGATGGTTTTGACATCCTTCTTTGGTGGCGTGAGCACAAACTAACATATCCAATTCTATCTATAATGGCTCGAGATATATGCTAGTTTCTGTTTCTACTATCTCTTCAAAGTCTTATTTTAATTTGATTGGTGGTGCTTGTTACTTGAAATAGTGGAGATGTTAACCTGCATCAAGAACTGTGAGTTAGGAGAAGGATGGGCACAACATAATGTTGAGAACCATGAACTTGAAGAATCATACAAGAACCTTTAGCTTCATGGAGATGAAGATGCCGCCGATGGTACTTAGTTGGAGGTTGAGAGTCAAGGAGGCTAAGACTAGGACTCTGGGAGTGTTGGTGAGTTGCTGAGTTACCATGTTCGACTG